CAGGCTGCACCTGCTGCATCGGTATCGGTAACCATGGCGATCAGAAAGGGTAGGGGGGTCACAAGGTGGGGAGCTGTGTGGTAAGGAAGGCTGGATCTGACTGGGGGACTGAGGAGCGGGTCTGCCTTCGTCGAGCGGTGGAGTAAGCAGAGCAGTGACATCTTTCGGTGGAGTTAAATCTCCTGCCGTGTTTTCCACTGAAGTGCCTGCAAAATGCAAAGGAAATGAACTATGAATCTGGAGTATCTGTCTAAAGCTAGGCCACCAGTGAGGCTGTTGTGAATCAAGAGGATATGAATTATCCTTTAATCCAGTTTGTTCAGATGTATCATGCGTTAAATGAATGCGTTAAACAAACCTTTGTTTTTCTCTGACTCGTCAGGGTCAAAAGTATCCGATGCAATAGGAGAGTCTGCATTCATATTTTCTGTGGTTTTATTTTGCTGGGTATCATCTGTGCACAAGCCAGTTGGTAGATCTTCCTGTTGTTGAGGCTGCAGGTTAATGGATCCTAGGACCTAACCAAAAAAGATTAAACATTTTTAACTTTTACATTTGATATAATGAGTCCAAATTCATATTGTTTTAAACACTTTTTCCTTTTTTTTGTACTTGGTTGAAATATCTGGGTTCACCCTTCAGCTCTAATGACAACCTCTCACATTCCCCAAGGGTTTTTTAATAAAACCTTCCCTGAGGTGAATAATTACTTGATTTTAATGCATTCTTTATTCGGGAAACCTGTAGTTCCACAGCTGAGAGCACTAGAGAAAATTTAGTAAATATATATGTATATTCTGTATGTGAACAGCCGGCACCACCAAGTTAAGGATGGGTAGCTAAAGATGAGATGAGACTAGGAGTTTTTATCTGCATTACAACAGAGAGGAAGAGGTACACACACACACACACACACACACTGCAGAGAAAACTGAAGGTCAGGCTTAATCTAGAGAGCGTAATTGGAAAGCAAGGTACATAATGGCCATCATCACCTCAGTCTGAATTAATGAACCTCAATTACTATATGAGAGAGGGAGGGAGCAGTAGAAGGGGAGAGAACAAAGATGATGGTTTTTTTGGGGGGTGGGGTGGGGGGGGACTAGGGGTGTAAAATATGAAAAAAGAAATAGCAAGGAAAGGGAGGGAGGAATGGGACAATGGACAAAATGGTTTGGAGAGAGAGAGAGTAAGGGAAGGGTAACGCGAGAAATTGAGAGCAAGCTTGGCAGAGTCAGAAGGGGAGGGGCCGCGAGAGAGATTGTAGAGGAGGAATGATAGGACAGGCTGCAGAGGCAAAAAGGGGAGTGACAACGGCGGGGAGGAAAGGGTGAAAAGCAGTCAGTGAAGTGGAGGCGAAGAGAACTAGAGACAAAGGCCACTTAGCATACGGACCAGGGAGATGGAGGATGGTGATGTGGATAGATGACCGGTCTTTGTTAGTTGGAGAGACAGTAAAAAGCACTGGGGGCCCCCTTTTTAGCTTGACTGCACTTCTGGTAATAGAGGGCTACTTAAACATGCATTATAGAAAGACTGGCTTTTCCCTCGTACACTCAGTTCAAATTCTCCCTTCCACTCTACAAAACACACACACAAACACAACCATACAATATGCACAACTGCATCAAAGATGATAGCAAGGAGCTACTCAAACATGCATTAAAAGCTGCTGGCTCTCCGGTCCCTTCTTAATGGAATTGTCTCCCTACATTTCTACCCCGTAGCACCAGCTCACGTTGCTCATTCATATTTATAGATTCCTGACAAATGCGAATTTCAACAAACACTCACTTGCTAACTCACACTTACTGTGCTGATAATCTTGTCCACACAATCTTGCGCCACACTGTGCATATGTGTAAGATGCTGCCGAAGGTGTGTGTTTGGAAGTTCAACCTGGCACAAAGGGCACTGGACAGTCTGGAGGTGGAGAAAGGATAAAAACGTGTGCTCCAGGTGCACTCTGAATCAAAATTGCTTCTATTGTTGTTCCCTTTTATTGTTGCCATGCGAAACTCATTAGACATATACTTCAAAATAGTCGTTTGCCAAAATCTGGTTGTTATTTATTTACAGAGTTTAAAAGGACGAGAAGACGATAAAGTGACAATGGGTAAAGGTAAAGCGGTAAAGCGAAATACTAGAAAATATCATCGGCAACAGTGTGAAAAAAACAATTTTATATCTGCACTCGCAGAAATGTTCATGGTTTACAACAAGTTGTACGTTTCTAGAACTCACCTGCTGGTTCTCATTTTGCTGGTGAATTCTGGGGCGCTTGGTTTCATTTGAATTCTCCATCATGCTGCATTCATATTCAACTGGTTCACTTATTTGTTGGTTTTCCTCTTTTGTTTCCCCTTCAGAAAAAAAAATACAAATAATTAGGTCTGATCAGATGTGTACACTATTGATTTAAACAAACCTACAAAAACACTTTTTCTTTTTTTCTACAGCTAACTATTCAAAATTCCAGCACATCAGCCAAGGGTGACACCTGTTTGGTGTCAATGGTGTCATTGTAGGTACATCTATAAGAATTGATGCTTGTGGTTTTCATTACTATTTTAGAATTGATGCTTGTGGTTTTCATTACTAAAATAGATTGGGTTCTATATTTTCCCCCTCCTTGAATCGCAACCTTAACGTGGTGAAGGGGTTTGAGTATCCGAATGAACCTAGGAGCTATGTTGTCGGGGGCTTAATGCCCCTGGTAGGGTCTCCCAAGGCTAACAGGTCCTAGGTGACGGATCAGACCAATAGCGGTTCAACCCCCCCCCCCCCCCCCCCCCCCCCCCCCCCACACCAACCAAA